GGGGGGGGGACCTCCGCCAGCCCTGATGCGGAGCGAAATTGGCGCGGCGCTTGTTTTCTTTTCCATCCTGTGGCCGGGGCCGGCGAAAGCCCGGCGTCCGTCCCCGTGCATGCATGTGTGTGCTGCACACATATACGCCTCGCGCCCGGCGAGCCAGGCGCTCGGGCTGGCAGATCCCCCCCCCCCCCCCGGGCCGTTGCACCCCGGCATCCGTCACTGGCGACTCTGAAGCGGCGCACAAACCTGTGGCTCTTTTCCAGATTGGGCGCCTCGTTCGGGGGGAAGTATTATGGGCCGACTGCTGGGAACCAGCGCGCGCGCGCGCGCGCAGGGGGCCCGCGCACACAATGGTTCCCCACCTTTTGGGCCCTGCGCTTTCTCTTGGTACCCCCCCCCCCCCGCTCGGCCCGCGCCCTGGAAGGCCCCCAAGTGCACCAGCACAGGGCGGATGACGCATCTCGCCGTTGGGGGACACGATGTGGGTGTATTTCCCCCCCCCCCCCACCCCGGCATACGGGCTCCCCTGCCAGGATCGCACTGTTCCCTCGTGTCGGGGTGTTGGGCGCTGCCGGGGCCCCAGCGCGCGCGCGCGCGCGATCTGCGCTCGACCGCCGGCCAGAGGGCCATTCAGCTGAGCACATGTGTTCGTGGGGCCGGGGGCGGGGGGGGGGGGGCTGCGCGCCGAGCGAAGGATTCCACTCCCCCCGGAGGCCTCCGGGTGCCGGAGACACACACATAGACAGGACAACAGCTGATGTGAGCGTGGAGCGGCCGGGAGATCGCCCGTGTCCCTCCTTTAGGGGGTTTCGTCCGGGCGAGGACCGCAGGCCCTCCGGGCGCCGGACAAGAAGCGCGGAGGGGGGGGGGGGGCTGGCCAGAATGCGCGCGAACTCGCCCCCCTCGGATGGGAAATGCGCGCGCGTCCCCGTTTCCCGTCTCCCGTTCCCCGCCCCCGCAGCCCCAGAGGGGCAGCTCCGGGACCAGGCCAACCATACGCAGGGCGTGGGTGTATGTGTGCGTGCGCGCGCGCGAGCGAGCGATCTGGGTGGCCAGCCCCCCCCCCCCCCCCGGAGCATGGGCGTGAGGGCGCCCGAGTTTGGTGACATTCTTCCGTGACCATCCGGTGTTCCGGCCCCCGCGAGCCCCCCTGCACCTCCTGAGTAGATCTGTGTATCTGGCCCCCCCTCCCTCCCTTCCTGCCTCTTTCCTCCCTCTTCCTCTCTCTCTCTCTCTCCCTCTGCCTCCCGTCTACTCTCATCGCCGCCTCTCCATCTTCCCCTCCTCTCCCGCCTCACTGTGCCAGCACCGATCTGCAGCTCTCCCCCTGCATTCTCCCCGGTCTTCCCCCTCCCACAGGTTCGATCTGGCCCCTTGTCCGCATACATACGCACACATGCACGCGTGCGCATATGCGCGCATGCACCGTGCGACCCCCACACATGTCCCCCTTCTAACCTGACAGCACCATCCCCCTCCGCAGCCGCGCCCCGGCCGGAGTTCTTCTCTCCCTCAATCCCCCCCCCCCCCCCCCCCCCCCCCCCTCTCTCTCCCTGTCGAAGGGTGCGTCCTGGCTTTGTGGCCCCTTTTCTCTCCGCCAGCCCCAGCTACATCCGCCTCCCTGGCACTTGTCCCCACGGGCCGCTCACATGTCCACCGCCCGATCTCAACAGGCTTCCACTTTCGAGGCCTCCCTCCCTCTCGCTCCCCCCCCCCCCCC